AGTTCCAAATCACCACCCCCAACATCCTCCTTTGTCTTTAGCTGTAGATGGTATTTAAGGTAGTGGCTTCTGCCATTTTGGCCAGTTACTCAGTTTTCCTGGTTTTCTCCAATGTACACGTTATTAAACTTTGTTTGATTTTCTCCTGTTAGTCTGCCTCATGTCAATTTAATTCTTAGACCAGCCAGAAGGACCTACAGGGTAGAGGCAGAGCTCTTCCTCCCCTATGCCATAGAGCAGCTCCCAACATGGTGGCTTGCTTCATCAAAGCTAGCAAGGGAGAGAGTCTGCCAGCAAGACAGAAGTCAGAATCTCATGTGATCTATTTTTGGAAGTGATATCCCAGCACTTTCACCAAATTCTGGTTTTTAGAAGCAAGTCATAGGTTCCCACACTCAAGAAGAGGGGATTCCACAAGGGCACGAATCACACGTGGTGGGGTCACTGGGGGCCATATTTGAGGCTGTCAGCCACACAAATTAGTGTGTAGTGAAAGCCATAGATTCCATTCTTCTCATAAAGAGGCAAATGATAGAAATATTTTCTAAAAAGTTGTACTAATTCTATACAACATGAAAAGCACAAACCCAGGAACAAGTGACTGATAAATAAATATATCCCTGGCTCCCTTGCATGATATCAGGATCACTAAAGTGTGGCCAAGGAAATCCTCTGTAGTTTATCTGCTAAAGCCAGGAAATGGCACTGTGACAGAAGTAGCCCAGTAATTTTTCAGATTGTATTTCAAGAAACATTAGAATCTCTAGGCCTGCAGGCCTGGGAACAGGATAAAGAAAGAGGAGAAATGAGTGCTACGAGGCCTAGAGGATAGGACATTCAGCTCCCACCCCTACAGGGAATTCTGTGAGCTCTGCAGTTAAATATGATTAAAAATTCCCAACCCAATGCACGTTCCCTATGAATCTTTCTCAGTGAAAAGATCTAGTTCTGTTCCATTACTCACTTTGGTGAAAGAATTCTAATGAGCAAATAGAGGTAATTGGCCTTGGGTACCGATGGAATGTCAAACCAAAAAATGAAAGAGTTAAAAAATGGGGATTCTACCTTATATTGGACTCATATTAGTAGCTCAATAAAATTTCCAGCCTTAACTAAAGTGAAATATATAAAGCCCTTCTAAGCCCAGACTCTAGAGTTAGACTGTTTGAACCCATGTTCAAACACAGACTTTTCCTGTGACCTTGGGCACGTCTCTTAACCTCAGCTTCCTCATACGTAAAATATGAATAACAGTACTTATCTCCCAGGGTTGTTGTGAGGACCAAACGAATTGATATTAAGTCAGGTAGTGCTGGCTACTATCCTATGCCCAGTACTGTTCTAAGTCCTCACAAGTAATCCTAGTAACCCACAAGGAATTGCTGCTTCCACATTTCACTCCCCCACCTACAACATGGGTAACCATGAGAGAAAGTTTTAAACTTTCTGGTTTTTATTCTTAAATTTCAGACTGAAGAGTTTTAACATAAATTTTATTTAGATCAAAAATTCTGCAAATAAAATAGTGTCTAAACAGACTCATCCACACTCATTTGACAATTTTCCTTCAGTATTTTATTCATAAAAATACACATGTACCACGAATTAAGTAATATTTAACTGCTGTTCATTTCCTTTTGGACGTAGTATGATGACACTGTCATTGCAGCATGAGACCAGTAGACGGCTGTCCACAGAAAGACAGAGACACCTGCAGTAAAAGTCTTCACAAGATAATTATAAAAGAACTACAAAATTAGTAAAGGAAGGCTATGGATAGAGACATTGAAAATACCAAGTTTGTAATGGTCTTAAGAATGTTTTTAGATTTTAAAATGAAATAGATATTTAATTCTATTTTTTCACACTCAAGTCTTCATTACACTGCTGGAAGAAGTATCTATTTGGGTATAACCTTCCCAGAGGGCAATCTACTTAATACCAAAGTATTTAAAATACATTAATTCTTTGATTAAGCCATCAAAGGTCAGTATAACTAGTAATTGATAAAAGGCTTTAAGGATGAGCCAAAAGATTTATCTACAGCAATGGTTCTCAGCTGGGGGTGATTTTGCCCCACAGGGGACATTTGACAAAGTCTGGAGACATGTTTGATTGTCACAACTGGATGGGAGGGGTTGCTACCGGCATCTAGTGGGTGGAGGCCAGAGATGCCACTAAACATCCTACAATGTGTAGGACAGCCCCCCACAACAAAGAATCATCCGGCCCAAAATGTCAGTTGTGCTGAGATTGAGAAACCCTGGTCCAGAAGCATGTACCTCATGGTATTGTTTGTAAGAGTGAAAAATGGGAAAACACTCTAAGTGTCTAAAAATAGAGGACTAGTTCAATAAATTATGAATGAACCATCCATACAATTCAGTCATTAAAAAGAACGTTGCAGAAGTATATATATATATATATATTTTTTTTTTTTGGTGAAGAAGATTGGCCCTGAGCTAACATCTGTTGCCAATCCTCCTCTTTTTGCTTGAGAAAGATTGTTGCTGGACTAACATCTGTGCCAATCTTCCTCTACTTTATATATGGGACACTGCCACAGCATGGCTTGACGAGCGGTGTGTAGGTCCGTGCCAGGATCCGAACTTGCGAACCCTGGGCCACTGAAGCTGAGCACGCGAACTTAATCACTATGCCACTGGGCTGGCCCCGAATCTTCCTCTTTTTGCTTGAGGAAGATTGTCCCTGAGCTAACATCTGAGCCAATCTTCCTCTATCTTGTATGTGGGACACCACCACAGCACGGCTTGATAATCAGTATGTAGGTTCGGGCCTGGGATCCAAACCTGCAAACCCTGGGACGCAGAAGCAGAACGTGCCCAACTTAACCACTATGCCACCCAGCTGGCCCCCAGAAGTATATTTACTGTGACAAAATATTCTGTGAATTAAGCAGCTTACTAAAGTGTATATAGAGTATGAGCTCATTTTTTAAAGCGATATACACATATCTGACGGTGTAAACAGGTGGTTTATCTCTGAATGATGGCATTCTGTATTTTCTTCTTCTGTGCTTATTGTCAATTTTTAATTTTTCTCCAATAAATATCTTACATGTAATATTAGAACATTACATTTTTAATTGAAATTTGGGGACTACAGCAGCTATTAACTTTCAAGAGAAAAATACAACAAACTGAAACTAAACCTTATAAACTAAAATAGTGATGTTTTTCATTACATTACATCAACCAGCTGTTTCTTTAGTTCTAGTCACAGCAACAATTTTTCCCATACATGCTGGGACATATTTTGCCTTTTTCTATACTGAAATTTTTTTTCTATGGTTAAGGAAGTTAATTTGTTCACCATTTCCTCAAGTACTTGAAGGGGAAGACAAGCCTAAGAATAGATGTACCAGATTTGTTATTGAAAAAACTCACAAATGTACTTCTCGAGCTCTCCATTATTGAATTTCTGGTAGGCCTTTGAGCATTAGTAATATTTGAATGCTGCTGAAAGCTTTCTCTGAAGATGCATATTCACCCTCAGTACTAACGCAGTGGTGGTGTATCACATCCCAGGGAGCTCCGGCAATTGCATTTTTCTCCATTCATTGCTGGTAGCCATACCAATAAGTTAAAGCCCTAAGTTATGAAGACTCATTTAGGTTACAGCTAGCAAAATAAGAATGCAGATTTTTGGATTTTCTGCTGTAAATTTTACTAATATAGTATTTACACCCGATGGATGACATTTTAAAAGAACTGAACTGGAAAATATCCAAATCTTCATATTTAAATTAATCGTTAAATGGCAGCAAAATGTAGTATATGTTCTTTGTGAGCCAAAGAAAGCCAGCTATTAGCTATGCCTAATTATCACCAAATAAGAAATTCAACGCCATTATTTGATAAAAGTTTCAAGTACAATTTTCCTCCAAGAAACAGAAGAAAAAGGCTCAAGAAAGAGCCCTAACTGGAGGGGTCAGAGCTCTGTCATTCATTCACCAGTTCTGTGTCTGAGCAAATAACTCTCCTGCACTCAGCAGTTCACCTGTAAAATTCTATGAGGTTATTTACTCTTCTTTCTGCCCTGTATCAAAACGCACCTCACCTATTTCGCTCTAATGAAGCACTCCGTCATCTTTAAGTATACACGTCCTCATTATGCTCTCCGTCCTGGCTGCCCAGGACAGTTGACCACTCCTGGCTTTTCCACTGTACTTCGTCTCATATTTGATTACGAATACACGCTCAGTATTAGGGAGATCTTGCAAGGTCTTAGCCAGCATTACTTTATCTGAACAGAGAGGAGATAACATGCTTTAGAATTAGGTAGACAACCTGGGTCTCCGGGCTGGGCCTGCGGATGGACAACACGCCCCAGGATCAGCCCGGCAGCCTGGCATTTTTGCCCTCCCTCTCCCCGACCCGGAGGACCCAAGTTCAGGTGCTTTCCGGAAACAGACTGTAGATGCTCCCGCCGATCTGGGAAGCCAGAAGATGAAATGTCACGAAGCATATTTCAGGCTATGAAAAATAACTACCTAGTAATTTAAAAAATAACATGTCTAAGTTATCAGTCATTTTTCCTAATATCCACGTGAGTTCAACTCAGAAAAGTTACCCACTTGTTCAGAGAACGATTGATTCGGTTTGTCTGGGAAGCAAAATTCGCACCGTAAAAGCCACAGGGGTCGTTTCGACTTGGCGGAAGCCAGGGGTGGGCGCACCAGGCAAAGAAGTTTCTCAGGTTTTAGGCCAGGTCGCATTCTCCCTGTCATCTCTGCCAGGTGCCCAGAGGAGCGCGGCGACCGCGCTGGCGGGGACCCCACCTCGCGGGGCTCTGACTCCGCCGTGCCGACAGGGGGCGCCCCAGCCGCGCCTTTCCCGCCATCTCCGCGGGCGCCTTGGCGCCGACTCGCGCAGCCGCCTCCAGGGCCCGCGGAGCGATTCCTCTTCCGGGGCAGCGCCGAGAAGCGTGCGGGCCCCGGATGCAGACGCGAGCGGAGCTATATAAGCGCTACGCAGGCCGCACGCCTTTCTCTTTGAGGAAGACGGGCTCGCAGCCGTTGCGGAGGCTCGGTGCCGCGTTCCTGCTCCTGACTCACCGCTGTTCGCTCTCGCCGAGGGACAAGTCGGTCAGGAAGCCGCGCCGCAGCCATGGTGAGGCGGGGGGCGGGCCGCGCGGTTCCCGGTCTCGCCTCTGTCTGGGGTCGGCTGCCGGGCTGGCGGCTGGCGGGGAGAAGCGAGCCTCCTGGATCCGCGGAAATGGCGGGGGAACCTGGGGAGGGTCTTGATGAAGTTTCTCTCCAGAATTGACGGGGTTTTTAGAAACGTGTCTTTCTCCTCTGTGTAATAACAGGCGTTTAAAGACACTGGGAAGACCCCCGTGGAGCCGGAGGTGGCGATTCACCGAATTAGGATTACTCTAACCAGCCGCAACGTAAAGTCTTTGGAGAAGGGTGAGTGCACTAGTCTCAGGGTGAGACCTTGGGGCAAAAGAGCGATGAATTTGACTGGTTACTGTACAGGGGTGACTCAAAGGGAGGTGAAGTGACGAGTTGCTTAGCTTAGCAAGACAGAGTGATGCACGCTTGTTTATTACACCGTAGCTGGCGATGAGGAGAGAATTTCTGTGTTGAATCGCGGTGATAGTTTTATACGCTATTCTGAGCCAGCAGCAGGTAAAATTTCTGCAGCCCACCTTGATGTGAATGACCTGAAAGGTGCTTTTATTTCCCTGTAGTGTGTGCTGACTTGATTAGAGGCGCGAAGGAAAAGAATCTCAAAGTGAAAGGACCAGTTCGGATGCCTACGAAGGTGAGATCAATCGTAGGTGCAGGAAGCGGCTCACGGTTATTGTGTAAATTTGCTTTGCTCTTTTCGTGTAAGGGGTGTGGCTGCCAAGAGGGTTTTATATGCTGACGCTCACAATACAAACCGAAATCAAAATTGCTGGTAGAGTCGGGTCCGTATTAAGTACCTAATTTTTGGAGGTAACTGTAGAAGCCTTTTTCGTGTGGAATGGTGTTTTACAGTCGTGGGCACCAGGGATGCTGTCCTGGCTGAGTGAGTGGACTTGTATTCTAAAGGCAAGCGTTTGGAAATTATGTATGTAAAGAGAAACGAAGCCCTGAGAAATTTTCAAATGGAGTATTTCAGGGTAATGGTTTTTCAGATACTCTAAGCATAAAACCATGAATTCTTGGTTTCTTTTGTTGCAGACTCTGAGAATCACGACAAGAAAAACTCCTTGTGGTGAAGGTTCTAAGACTTGGGATCGCTTTCAGATGAGGATCCACAAGCGACTCATTGACTTGCACAGTCCCTCTGAGATTGTTAAGCAGATTACTTCCATCAGTATTGAGCCGGGAGTCGAGGTTGAAGTCACCATTGCAGATGCTTAAATCACCTTTTTTAATAAATTGATTACTGGTTGTTAAGTTCTGTTGAGTTTTATTTGTAATACTGGCAGATTTTGGGAATATGGAATTGTGCTGTGAAATTTATTCTGCCCTTCAAATAGAATAATCAGAATGTGATGGATATCCTTTGGTGGTCTGACTTGTTGCATTGTATTTCCTGGAGGCCACTAATCCAGCTTACACTTGACATCTCTTGAAAACTGAATTCTGTTAACTAAATAATATGAGACCATACCGTTGCTGAATGTATACAGTGCTTTATAACTGGCTGCATAGTTGGAGCTTTTCCAAAGAGTTTGTCTGTGTCTTACCCCAGAAAGTATGATTTAATTGACATGGGCTGCTGCGAGTCTTGTAAAAGGTTTCTGGGGTGATTCTAATGTGTACAGCCATGGTTGTGGATCTTGCACTAGAGGGCAAGTAACTCAGGGAAGAGTAAACAATCTTGGTACTTAGGTTAACTCTTAGGCTCTGTCTGTAGCAGTGTATTTTATATACTCCTTGGAATGTTTATTGAATATATGTAGGTCGTTCAATATGAACAATCTATACTAAACATGTAGTTTACATATAAATAATATATTAACTAGAGCACTGAAAAGCATGTCATACAGGCCAAATTCATTTAGCCAAACCCCTATTGGCACCTGCCAGGCTCTGCTTCATTTTCTTGAATGAATACTTGAGTACTATTATTCCCATTGTGTAGATCTGGAAACTTGGTTTTGAGGTTTACCTTGCCCAATGTCCTAGAGCTTTATAGTAGCATAGCTGAGATGTAAATGGGCTCATGGGATAACAATCCATCCTCTTGATGTCCCATTAAAGTATTCAAGTTTTTGCTATTGAAATTTATTATCAGATATCCTTCTAAATAACGTTTAATTTTCTATTAGAGAACATTTCCAGAAATATTTTTGACAAAAACATGGAAGCATTTTTGCAAAGTATAAAATTCCCTTCAGAAAATTAATGCTCTCACTTGAGCTACTTTTAATAAGATTACAGCCATGAAATTCATGCCTTTCCTCTGGGTTTGGGCCTAGGCCTTCTTTGGACTATTTTGTCCGTTGGCTTCACCATCTATGTTCTAAATGACCTTTAGCTCAGATTTCTCTACATTGTCAGATTGTTTACTAGACACTTAACACCTTACACAGCTCAAAGTTGACGTCTAAAATGAAAATCATCTTTTCTTCCAAAAACCCTCTTGTTGTGCATTCTCTTTCTCAATCTGTGGTCCACCATACAGCCACAGGATCACTAATAAAACATTGGAATCCTCATGCCATTATCCCTTCTACCTCTCTTCCAACATCCAAGTCTTTTTGATTCTACCTTGTTTTCTCTTAGCAGATCTCCAAAAAACCAGATTTTGAACATCAGGAATTTGAATGGAACCGAATCTGGAGAGAACTATGCCAAATTGCTGAACTCAAACAAAATCTGAAGTATTTTTTAAATGCAAATGAACTACATAAATTTTTTTGAGGTTAACCATTTGTAACAGCATTAAATCAAGTGAACTTTTTAAACTAATTAGCTTGGGAAACTAAACAACATGAAGATTTCATTGTAACTGTTAAGTAGACATTGGGCCATAAACAACTATTTCAAGAATTATACAATGTGAGTCAGGGTGCTAAGGCCTGTAGTGATCCATTTTTTCATAGAGAAGCTGGGGTTCTTGGTTTAACTAGAAATTGTGAAGGAGTTGTTAATCAAAAGCCAGGTAGTAAGCTACTAAGCTGTCCTCTAGCCCAATTTTAACTTATCTACACTGGGGAGTGTGAAGAGAGCTGTTTAGGTAGCAGTTAGGATCATCTTAAAACTTAAGTATCTGGTAATGTGGCCCCCACACAAGTACCTACAAGCTTGTTTTAATCTAAGTATATTGCAACATAGAAGTCTTCATAATACACTCAGTATCCTGAGAACTGATTGAAAAAAAGATCTGTAAAAACACTAAAGCCACTCATGACTAAAGAATAGATTATTGTGAAAAATGTCTCAATAAATCAAGATCACTGAAAGAACAGCTTTATGGCTTTCATACAGTTCTGAATTTTAGCTGATGTGTGCCAAAGTGACTGATCAGCAATTGTAATTTTTCACACAAATAGTTGGAGCTGTATTTAAGCTATAGGCAATATTTAAAGACCCTGTAATACAGCTGAAATGTAGCACTTAAAATGTTGGAAACTGCTGTTATCTTCAATTACTTAAAGATTTAGAAATATCTGCTTGGAAAAAACCCCCGCAGGGCTTTTGAATGTTGTTGTTAACGAACTAAAGATAGGTTAAGTAGTGCTAATGATGCCAATGATTCCGAGAGTTATAGGCTGGCTTGTGTGGATTAGGGAGGTAAAGGAAGGTTGAAAGTGGGAGGCCTCTCCAGGCCTTGTCTCATTGCCTTTGATTCACAGAGGACTGCTTCTATCTTAGAAATGTGAGCTAAACATAATGAAGACAACAGATGCCACTGTGGCTGTGCGTCGCTGGATCAGATTTCTTCACCTGACATCCCTGAGTGTGTATATGCAGGCTACGGGGATGTAAAGTGAACAGGCAAGAGGGTGAAGAAGTAGAAATTCCCATGCAGTCAGGACTGCTCCAAACCTAGTTACTTGAATATGTGGGCCTACTAAGATACTTAACTTGGAGCCTCAGTTCTCAAGTGCAAAACGAGAAAATTTGTAGTATCTATCTCAAGGGCATATGTATACGAGTTTTCCTTTGTCTCTGGGAGACACTTTCCAACAAAATCAGGACTGGCTTGCTAAGGGCATAGATTTCTCGCACGGGGACCTTGATTCCCACAGAATATGGTACGCTGCTGGCAGATGGCATTAGGCTAAATTACTTATAAGGACACTTTGAGAAGTATATTTGAATCCCCAGGGGCATGCCTTTCTAACTGCATCCTGCACCTAAAAAGTGACCAAGCGGTTCTACCTATACTGGAGAACCTCACAAGCCCAAGTGTTATCTTTTGAAGGTAAGAGGAGCTAAATTAGTTCTTATTTCCTTCATCGTAGAAACAATGTATTTTACTTTCATAGCAAATTAAGCTTTTAGGACAAGGGAACTGAATCCTTCTATACATTTTTTTCTGTTAACTGCTTTTTTTGCTTTATATAGAACCCACCTCGAAAAGTATTGTTAATATTCTATTCTTCAGAACTTTTCAGATACATATGAGTGTATGTAATTATAATCTATCTTCTCTTTATCTAGCTATATAAAATCTATATCTCTTTTTAAAAAATACAAATGGGACAGTACTAACCATTGTTATGTAAATTATTTTTATCCTTACTTATATATCTGGGAGATGTTTCTATATCTGCACATACCTCATTTGTTTCAATGAATAATGCATTGTATCCACCTTAATTTATTTAACCAGACTCCTATTGATGGACTTATAGATATTTCCCAGTTTTTTGCTATTAAAAGCATCGCTTCACTAAACATGCTTTTAAAATTGTCTTTGTTCCCTTGTACAACTATATCTATAGGATACATTCCTGGAAGTTGAATTTCTGAATTTTGGTTGCATTGTAGATATTAATATATAGTGGCTAATATAAAAGAATTAGCAAGTGACTTATTTAAGCATATTTGCTGTGTGTGCATGTATGAATGGTTTTCTGTGGTAGATAAAAGAGAAATAGATATTTCAGTCATAGGGTATCAGAATTTTTTGTGTGTGTGAGGAAGATCAGCCCTGAGCTAACATCTGTTGCCAATCCTCTTTTTGCCAAGGAAGATTGGCCCCATGCCCATCTTCCTCTACTTTTTTATATGGGACGCTGCCGCAGCGTGGCTTGACAAGCGATGCGTCGGTGGCGCCTGGGATCCGAACCTGTGAAACCCAGGCTGCTAAAGTGGAGCACGTGCACTTAACTGCTACGCCACTGGGCCGGCCCCCCAGAATTTTTAATTTTAAGATACTACCAAATTGATGCCCTCAAATGACTGCCCATTTATATTCCTACCAGTTGTGGAAGTGCAGTTACATCCATCTGCTGGACAAAAAAATATCTCATTATTTTAGTCCTGCCCTCTGTTTATTTCCTCTTTCTGGGACTCCTACTGATTGAATGACCTTCTGGAGGTCCTGTATGTCTCAGCTTTCTTTCATACACTCTTTTAGACTTTTTTATTATGTAATGTGGAATATTTCCTTGACTTTCTCATCTAGCACTTTTATTGATTTATTTTTTCATTTTGATTGGTTTTTTCTCTAGCATCCTTATTCTGGAAAATTTCAAACATACACAGAAGTTGAGGAAATGGTATAAATGAACCCACTCAGCTCTAAGAATTGCCAACTGATGGCAGTCTTATTTCATGTATAACTCCATCCTCTCCCCCAACCAACCTTCAGATTATTTTGAAGTTAATGCCAGAATACACACATTTTTTCTCATCTAAATCGGAAATATAAGGACTCTTATTTTTTTATGGTTCAGTAGTGTTAAATATGTTCACATTGCTGTGCAGCAGATCTCCAGTACTTTTCCATCTTGCAAAACTGAAACTCTATACCCATTGAACAACTCCTCATTTCCCTTCCTCCCAGCCCTTGGCAACGACCTTTCTGATTTTTGTTTCTATGAGTTTGACTACTTTAAATACTTCATGTAAGTGGAATCATGAGTGGAATCATGCAGTATTTGTCTTTTTGTGACTGGCTTATTTCATTTAGCATAAATGTCCTTAAGGTTCATCCTTGTGCCATGTGACAAGATTTCTTTCTTTTTTAAGGCTGAATAATATTTCATATCTGTATATACCACATTTCTTTATCCATTCATCCCTGGATAGACATTTGGGTTGCTTCCACTTCTTGACTATTGTGAATAATTCTGCAATGAACACAGGAGTACTAGTATCTCTTCGAGATGCTGCTTTCAATTCTTTTGGGTATATACCCAGAAGTGGGAGTGCTGGATCATATAGTATAACTGTATTTTTAAATTTTTGAGAAATCTCCATAACGTTTTCTATAG